TACTCTCTCTCTCTCTCTCTCTCTCTCTCTCTCTCTCTAAAGTTCCAAAATCACCTTTAAATTAACTCTCTCTCTCTCTCTCTCTGACACAAACAAACTGAGTCTATGCACCTCAAATATACATTTTTTAAGAAGAGGCTATATACACTGTCATTATGCATAAAAAGCCCACTTAAAATCCAAAATTTTTCATTAGATACCAAGTACCCATTTTTCTTTTACAATAATTAACAAAATTCCCGACTATTATTAGAAAAGAAAATAAAAAAATTTAAGCTATTGTTCTCACAAAGAAAAGCACATAATTTTTTCCAATTATTACAGCACAATATTGGGGTTACCAATTCAAGAGACTTTGAGCAGTTCATGAAATGCCTCCTGTGGAATGTCAACCGAACCTACTCGCTTCATTCGCTTCTTTCCCTCCTTTTGTTTTTCCAAAAGCTTCCTTTTTCTCGTAACATCGCCTCCATAACATTTCGCGAGCACGTTCTTCCTCATAGCCGAAAGCCTAACAAAGGGGGAAAATCAGATTTATTCTATGCATATCTCTAAATTGTCATCGATTTTCTCCAAATTAACATTAAAGAGCAAAATGAAGTATGTCTTACGTTTCCCTCGCAATGACCTTCGATCCAATAGCTGCCTGAATGGTTATTTCAAACATTTGCCTGTAAATTTCATTAGACATGTTTTAGCATGATCACAATAACAAAGGGGAAGTGTTGCAAACCTGCACAAGCATGTGCACTCCTAAAAATGGGTGCAATAGCCATGTCTGATACTTCAAAAACATATCAGAAAGCACAAAAGTGATGCCACAGCAATGTCCATATCTTTACACAAATGTATAAAGGCCGAGACTGAGAGGGCATCATATGTGTGCTAAGGTGCGCATAAATGTATAAAGAGGAGAGAGAGAGAGAGAGGAATAACAACACTGGGATAACTTGCATTCATGCATGCTGGCCTAGTAGAGAGAGAGAGGGACAGAGGAATAACAACACCGTGATAACTTGCATTCATGCGTGCTGGGCCTAGTATAGAGAGAGAGAGAGAGAGCAATGATATTCAAACAACTTGCATGCACTAGACTGAATGTTGAGCCCAGTAGTTTGTTTGTGTGTGTGCGCGCACACGCGTGTGTATGTGTGTGTGTATGAGTGTGTGTGTGTGTGCGTATGAGTGTATGTGTGTGTGTGAGTGTGAAAGAGAGAGAGAGAGGCAACGATAATGAATAAACTTGCATGCATCGAGGTGTATCTTGAGGTTATTGTAGTAAAAGACCTATCAATGAACTTCTTAAGCTTATCCACCAGTTCCCGACCAATTCTTTGTGCCTTCAGTTTATGAACAATGGTGGCCATAGCATCAACTGCTTGACCATTAAGAAGTATGTCAAGCTTCACTAGATCTGAAACTTGATACCTGTTTCAACAAAATCATGAAATAATATTCGAGAAAAAAGAAACAACTTTTGGTGAGGCTGCTAAAGGATAATTTTATATTCTGCACAATGTGAGCCACATGAACTCAAATGCCAAATATTCGTCATACCAAAGATAAGCAAGACAGAAAATGTATACAATAAGCTATTAACTTTTGGTATAAGGAAGTATCAATCAGTAAAGACCATTAGATGTGATATCTAGTGGCTGGGGTGTGTCATTTACTAGCAAAAAGTCCAAAATACAATTTTTCAAATGGTAAATTTTAAGCTGTCGGATTTCACATCAAATGGCTAAGGGTGATTATGACCTCCTTGAAACAAAAGTAAAGGGTCTTCCAGTATACAAACCCCTTTTTTAAGTATGACAAATGTTACAACACAAACATTACAGTTAGAGAACTCCAAACTTACTCTCCATCCTCGTAGTCAAATGAGGCATAACCGGATGTTATGCTCTTCAACTCATTATAGAAATCCACAACAATCTCCCTCAGTGGCAACCGATATTTCATGAAGGCTCGCTGACTGCATGAAGAATACCAATGACAAAATATAATTCATCAATAGTTCCATCCCAAAGAATAATTCAATTTTGACAACTCCCCCAGAAAACCAAAATAATCACGCATGCACACACACACACACACACACACACAGTAAGAAGAAGAAGAGAGTTTCTAGAGAAGGTTCACCTATCGATAAATGAGTACTCCAGTTGTTCTCCTCTCCTTTCTGAGCAAAGGGTAATAACAGGCCCTACATATCTGAAGGTACATAATATTAAGATGTAATATGAGAATTAATATTGCGGTGTACAAAGTATCTTATCAAGTGAAATCCCACATATACAACATGGAGGTTAATGTGCCAAATGCCAACCTGCAGAGACAAAGTTCCAAGCACAAATGGAACATATAGAATGAAACAAAGAAAAGAGAATGAAAACAAAAGACCATTGAAATGAAACATAGTTTGGACAAGCCAAGTAAATTTATGAAGGCATGAAGAAAGAAGAGAAATGAAACAAGGAATCAGAGCTTACTCACTAGGGATAATGATCGTAGCAATTACTGATGGCTCCCAACATGCCACTATACGTTTTCCAGAATTTGAAGACAATGCAGCAGGGTTCTGCACATCTTCTTTGCTAAACAAGACATTATTTATTTTATAATTGGTAGAAAAGATGTATCTAATCAGAGAAACAAAGCTTAAATGTGAGTAACTGCACGTCCTATATCAAAAAGTAAATTTTTTTAAATTGGTAAGCAAGGTGTTATAAAGCATCATGCTTAAGTTGCATATGTATATGGACATACCTTCCATCTGAATATTCAAAAATATAAGGCACTGTTGGGGTAGTAGAAATAACCCGGGCTCCATACTCCTGTAAGGTGTATAAAATATCAGGTTCCCAACATGAATTGCTGAAAGGAAAGCACTTGAAATTGAAAGCTTTTGGACACACATTTCCCAGCGTATGGACAATTCAAACCACCTTCATAAGTTCGATAAAACATAATCAACCTCGTGATGCATAACAAAATTAATTTTATTTTTAATTTTTATTCAACTATAAAGGATGTATATTTTGATCTTAGTTTTAGGTTTTACTTTTAGGGTTTTTAAGCTTTTTTAGGGATTATAGGGGTTTTCTTTTTGTATTTTTATTTTCTATTCACTAGTTACTATTCACATCTATTGTTCATAGTTACTATTCATGTGTTACTTACTGTTCATAGGAGTAAATTTGTCATTAAGAATTTTGTGTTTAAGTTAGGATATTTGGGTCATTTTAATTATTGTAAGGACATTTAATATCTTTGAATATTAAATTATAATATATAAGAGGTGGTAAGGCCTTGAGGGGTCATTCCACGTGATTTTCAAAATTGAAAAAGAAAGAAAAGCTTAGGCTTTTAGAGCCGTTAACTTAGGGTGGGGAGGAAACCTTAGGGTTTTTCCAAATTTTGCTTGTGTTTGGCATGTTTTCTTGATGATTTTACTGCTATCTTTAAATTTCCCTACATCAATTTGGTATTAGAGTTATAGTTTTCTTCAACAACGAAGCCTAGAAGTTACAACTGGGTTTAGGGTTTGCTGATTTTGGCTCAAGTTTTGCCAAATCAACCTAGATCTTGTTCATTTCAGCAGTTTTTTTGTTGATCCTTTGCTTAGGGTTTGTGATTTTGGTGAACCCATGGAGGCGAGAAGGGGCCATGGGAGGGGAGATTTTTTTTTGTAGACCCACTTCGTGGTCCGAGAGATGAAGAAATTGAGGAACTTAAAAGGTCAACTCAGCAGCTGGTGCAGCAATTTGCCAGCATCATTCATGGGCAAGACAGTGATCTTCCTGCCCAAGAAGATGTCAAGCACAACACAGCCCTTTTTACCTCTGTACTCCACATGAAGAGTCGAGTCAAGAGGAAAACAATAGAAGATCTAAATGTGGGGAACATCACTCCAGGGTTTTCAATTTGAAGGATGACATTTTTTTATTTTGACATAGGTTGTAAAAATATCAGCAGGTTGTAGATTGGAATTTGCCATCAATCTTTAATATTTATGCAAATGAACAACAAGATCTCTTACGAGATCTGATCTATGATAAGGATCAAGATATAGATACAGATGTTTCGAAAGAGGATCCTTCTCATGAAGAATATGGAGAGAAGGCCATAGGGGGACTGATCAAAATCATAGCCTTTGAAGATCTCAAGGATATCAACAAGGTGGAGTATTCAAGAGATTTAGGGCATTGCAATCAGAATAGCACAGTGGAAGTGTGGTCGACTCAAACCACAAATTGTGGCTCTGGTTTTAGCAAGTAATGAAATAGATGTCGAGAAAGCCTCCAAATACCGAAAAATTGCGTTTGAAGATTCTTATTCAATTTTCAAAGCAATTTCAAGGATAACCGAATTTGATAAGTTTGTATCAATTCCTTGGTTTTGATGCTAAATTCAAAACTCGACGACTAGTTTTCTCCAATCAAGGGAGAACGATGCAAGACAAAACTATTCTTATTTTTAGTTTTTATTCAATTTTAAAAGATGTATATATTAATCTTACTTTTAGATTTCATATTTCGGGTTTTTAGATTTTTTTAGGGATTCAAGGGTTTTTCTTTTTCTATTTTTATTTATTATTTACTAGTTAGTATTCATGAACATTGTTCATAGGTACCATTCATTGGCACTGTTCACAGGTTACAGTTCACAGGGGTAAATTTGTTATACAAATTTTTTGTTTATGTTAGCACTTTTTGAGTCATTGTAATTATTGTATGGACATTTAATATCTTTGAATATTAAATTATAATATATATGAGACGATAGGGCCTTGAGGGGTCATTCCATGTGATTTTCATAATTGAAAAAGAAAGAAAAGCTTAGGCTTTTAAAATCCTAGCTTGGGGTGAGGAGGAAACCTTAGGATTTATCCAAATTTTGCTTTTGTTTTGGCACGTTTTCTTACTAATTTTAGTGGTTTCTTTGAATTTTCCTACATGACCTAGGAAAATTAAAGAACAAACCCCACCCTCCAACCCAAAAGTAATGGTAATACACTAAAAGGAGGTTTAAAAGATGAACAGTAAATGACACCAAAGTTGCTCTTGTCATTATGGTCTGCCAAATTTTCCTAGATACTAGTAGTCATTTTCTCATGTTCACTACAAAAAGGTCATAGTTATATTTCAAAATTTCAAGTTCTACAAAGAAGAAACCCTGTTATTTACAATCATTGTAAGGACTTCAGAGAATAACATGGCATAGAAACCATCAATCTCTTAACCTTTTTTTGTCTCAGATCTTATCATTTCCTGTTTTCAACGAATCATCACTTATAAGAAATAAGGCCTTAAGTTCTTCCGATTCCAGTTTGTTGGAATGAAGTGCTCTAGACAATGATTATTTACTTTTTCTCAAAGAGAAGAGCCCGAGAAGTACTAAAGCATACTTGGTCTAGCCTCTGATGAAAGACATCCATGTGAAGTAATCCTAAGAAGCCACACCTGTGTAAACAATAAATATTAGTAATCCTTATTCCTCAAGGAACAGGTTCGTGCCAAATAAACCAGAACCATTTTTTAGTTCTTACAGAAAATAGGATACCAATAATCAAATGGACTATGGGAAACCACAGAACATCCATTGGGGCCAAGGGGTCCCACTGTCTTAGCAAAGATGGACGATGATGGAGAGAGGATGGGGGAGAGAGCACCAGAACAGGACATGACCCCCTCACTTTCTGTCCAAGGCTCATTTCATTGGGTGCTGACGACCCAATGAATATGGTTTCCCATTGTCAGATAGGATACTTTCCGATTCTCATGCACCATGAAGACAGAAGACTAGCAAGCTTCTGAAACCATTTCTTCCTATAAATGGTCCAACATTAACAAAGATCAAACAATACCGGAAGCCTAGGCCAAGTGCTGTGCTGCTCTCCTTAGCAACAGAAACACTCGCGTCATTGCATGTTAATCTCTCAATAGCATGGTTCAGGGCATCAAAATCAGAACCATCGGCAGGATAGATCCCAGCAAACACCATATGCTTTGCCGGCTTAAAACCTGTAAGATATAATTCACATGGGACAGGACAATGATAAAATGAAAGCAAGCACTCACTATGATATGTGTACCTATTCTACCATGACAATAAACATAGAAACCATAAAAATGGTTGCTCTAATATTTAGCAGTATCTTTGGACCAAAATGCAGTGGCAAAAGATAATGTTACAGTAAAAATACAAAATTGAAAGAATGTCAAATGTGTTTGCACACGTTCATCTTCTGATTACAATTGTGCAGCCTCAGTTTTGGTTGGTCCTTAATTTTTCAAAGAATTTTAGAAGGTAACCATTTCCAAGGTCGTATATAAGACATTGTGATACTAAAATATAGATGGTTACAGAAGCATAATGACTAACATGATGGAAGGTTGACTACATAATTTAAAAAACCCAAATCATATAGCACAAATGACTTATATGATAGGGATTGTATACAATAAGACCATTTACCTTTGATACAAAAGAGGTCACAATTACTTACAATCATCCAATGTGAAATCAGATAGCTTGGATGCGCCACAAAATTCGAGAGAATTTCTGTTGAAGTTTGAGCTAGGGCATTGGAATAAATGCAACCAACTAATTTCACATCTAATGATTAAGATTAATTGGGACCCCCTTGTACCAAAGATAAATGGTCTCATATTATACTTTTCTTATACGATAAGTTAAAGTAAAACGATATTAGCTGCAAATGAATTGATACTCTCAGCTCCCAACCTTGTAGGATGGAGGGCAATTGCTTGAATTTGGACAACGCTTCTTATTGTTTTTACATTTTTTTAAAAAATCTATCACTTAATTACTGTTTTTTCTTGCTTTTAACCCCTCCCCCCCCCCTCGGTTCGAAAGTCAAATTTTAATGACTAAACTATCCTTCCCCTCCCTCACCCTACCCATTAAATCTCTCTCTCTCTCTACCCGCCCTCTCTTTCTTTTCTCTCGCCACCCACCCTATCTCTCTAGTGTTGAAAAAATGCGGTCCGGCACAAAAGTATGCCAGACCGGCCTCTAGAAATCCAAAAGCCTCGTGACTAGTGTATGCCTGACCGGTCATGAGGCTTATGGATTTCCAGAAGCCAAAGGCTGGTCCGTCGCACTTTTGTGCCGGACCGCATTTTTTCAACACGAGAGAGTGAGAGAGACGAATATTGGGCGGAGAGAGAGAGAGTAATATTGGGTAGAGCGAAACTGATATTGGGC